GTTTAATTAAGGTCTAAAGTATAGTTCTCGTGGGAACGATAAGTCGGACTCAAATGTCCACTATATTACTTGTTACGATATCTTACACTTGCGATATCAAAAATGCAACAAATTTTTGGCGTCATTGCCGGGGATCGAACCCGGGTCACCCATGTGACAGGCGGGAATTATACGTAATTTTAATACGTCAGTAAGACCAATATCTTGTAAATGTAAAAGATGAAAATGAGGCAATTATACAAATTAGGTAGAATTTTCATTGGACTCGTAATTTTATCAACTTTTAAACATAAAGTTTGATTAATTTTTATCAAAATTTGCTAAGATTAGACCGATTATTCAAATTTTCCATAATTTTAGCAAGGCATTGTTCAAATTTCTGTATAGTGTAAATTTCCATATCCCCCACCGTTTCACGCAGACAGAACTGGTTTTTATGTTTATTCACACAAATCATACCCATTCCACTCACACCTTTCGCCACCGCCATCTTCAAATACATGAACCCCACCAACCACAGCTATAAATTATGGCATGCATTATTTAATTTCTCTTTCATACAAAATGTGTTGCTTCTCCTCTTCCTTTACTTCATCATTTCGCCCAACAACTTTTAGATACACTAACTATTCCATTTATTGAACGCTCTTTTTTTCTGCGAGGACCCAGGGGTTCACTCTCCTCAGGTAATTCTTATTAGAGTAAGAATGCTGTTTCTTTTTTATTTGTTTGTTTGGACATTTATTTGTTGATTAGAGTACCCTTTTAGGTCAGAGCTCAAATTCTTGAATGTGGAGTATGGGTTTTTCTCTATTTTTTCCCTTTCCTTTTGTGACGGTTGACTTTCTAAGGTTTTGATTCGTGTTCTGGGATGTGGGTTTTTCTGGAATCAATTTTTTTTTTTTTTAAATTTGGTGAAGAATATTGGTAATTCGGGATCTACCAGACCTGTGTGTTCTTGATAATTATATTTTTTTTACTGATATGATATCAATCTGGGTTTTATCTTAGCTTTGTCTATTGGTTTGTGCTTGATAACTAAGTTAGAATTTTGCAGAAGGGAAATAATGGAGCACGGTGCTTTTAGTTGAACTTCACTGATGCTTGATGGATAATTAATTTCTGCTCCACATTCCAGAGGAATGGAAGAGTTAAAACTGCTTGTTTTTAATCATGTCTTTGGCTAAACTAGTCACTGCTAAGTGCTAACAATGGGATTTTGGATTTAACAAACTTCAGAAAGGTAAAAAGTAATTAGTCTGTTAATAGAAGGAGCTGGAGTAATTCTGTGTACTATTCTTGCCGTGTGGTATATTGTCAGGGCTTCAGTAATGTTGCAACTTGCAAGAATTTTTCTCCTTTTTTCAGAGTTGTTCTCTCCTTTCATTTTAATCCCAATGTCTCATGGCTTGTATTCTTCTTGATCAGCTCTAGGAATGAAAAGGACATCGTATTACAATGCTGTGGCCCAAGTGCATGATCAGTGGCCTATTAAGAAAGCACTCACACTCTCTGATGTAGATATCACACACCCATTCTTGACATTGTCTCGGCAACAAGTTGAAAATCATATAGTTGTGTATATGACTCCTCAACAGAATGAACAATTAAGGTCTGATGGCCAAGTAAGTTTTAATGCCCAAGATGATGACACTGGCGAAATGCACATCATGAAATTGAAGTGGCGAGGGAGCTATTATAATCTAATTGGCAAATGGGGGAAAATTGTACGTGGTAAGGGACTTGATGTTGGTCAAGAAATTAAACTACGGTGGGTTGGAGGGTGCTTACACTTCTCAGTTCCACAGCATCAGGTTGTTGTAGTACCACCAGTTCGAACAGTTGCAGCTCCCTTGGTGCATGACCACTGGCCTATTAAGAAGGTCCTGACATTGTCTGATGTGGATATCAATCATCCGTTTCTTCCATTGCCTCGTCGTTCAGTTGAAGATCATATTCTTGCTCATTGGGTGCCACAAGAACGAGAAAAATTAAGAAAGGAAGAGCAGGTGGATATAAATGCCCGTGATTATGATACGGGTGATATGCATGTGATGAAATTGAAGTGGCGAGGGAATTACTACAACCTTATTGGGAAATGGGCAAATATAGTTCGACAGAAAGGACTTGGTGTTGGCAAGGAGATCAGATTACGCTGGGCTAATAATTGTTTATACTTTTCTGTTCTGCACGAGCATTATGTTCCAACACCATCTGCACGGGATAATTGGCCTATCAAGAAGGCACTCACATTATCTGATGTAGATACCAATCATCCGTTCCTTACTTTACCGGGCAAAGCAGTCGAAGATCATATACTCTTTTACTGGACGGAGCAAGGTCGGGAACAATTAAGAAATGAACATCAAATTAGTCTTAATGCTAGGGACAATGACACAGGTGACCTGTACGTGATGAAGTTGAAATGGCGTGGAAGTTATTATAATCTTATTGGCAAATGGGGTAAAATCATTAGAGAGAAGAGGCTCCATGTAGGAACAGAGTTCAGATTGCGCTGGGACAGTGGATGCTTAATCTTTTCAGTTCCTCAATGATAGAGTTGTTTGATGTATAGGTAGGTCCAAGATTCACCAAAGTAATTATGGTTTTCGAAATGTTATTCACATTTGATACATGAACTTCCATTTTATATGGTTAATTTTCTAATGTTTCTTCCACTCTTACTTATTATGATGACAAGATTTGAACTTAAGAGAACCTAACAATTTGCATATGAATAACTGGTTCATGGGACTTACTGGAAGTTACAAATTCAACAATATAAGCACTGAGCAACTTATTAGATTATTTGCTGATTCTTATGGATCAAATATCGGGAAGATCAACTTGGATCTTTTCTATACTTTTATGACTCGTAGTCTTGTTTGATTATTGTATAATTCTATTTTCTATTTTTCTTGTAAACGAACTTGAAGTTAGACCTATTTTTGTTGTTTAGAACATGCTTGGCTAAGCTTAAATAAACTTAGAAGTTACTTTAAACAACTTTTTATACTTTTTGTCTTGTGTTATTTAACCAATATATTGCTGAAATGGTTAAAGATAATAACATTGCTGATAGATTAGGAACTCAGTAGATGTAGATTGAGCTTTTGGTAAGTGGCTAACATTACAGTTTAAATCCTGTCTTTTGCAGATTATTGACTTCAGATTCTATTGGTAATATTTTCTGCTTCTAGCGTATAGAGATATGATGAATTATTCCATCCATGGTTGAGAATCAACTTTCTTTTATTTTTTGGAAGATCGGATCCCAGTCTGCTGAGATAATGAATTTCATGTATAGTGTACACTTGGATACCCTAGTTTTTTTCTCAAACTAGGTCAGTCGTGTCAATGCAAGTCCTATGCCAATTTTAAAGAGGGCCACACCCTAATACTAGCATTTGCCCTGGAATTCCCCACTGCAGCTGAGAACCTTGATTGCAGACAAATGTGAGATCTTTAGGAAGCCAGCTTCTCTAGCTAAAAAGGAACCAGCTCAAACTTGAGTACATCTGCAAGTATTTGGAAATTACATACTTGTGCTCATATGTCATCCTGGAAATACTAGGATTTTTTATGGTTTAGGATGGCGGTGGGTGAAAGATCTGCCGTGACAGAAGAAAGATTGTTGTTTAGCTTCTGACTCAGGAGATGAATAGAAACAATCAGTTTTGAAGCCAAGGATCAATGATACATCTCAATTTGTATGTTGCCTTGCGATAATTCTTGCTCGTGGAAAAGCTAGTAGCTATTATGTCAACGTTTGCTTTGTATTTGCTGTCTGAATATGAAGTTCTTTTACAGAGTCGGGTGATAATTTGTTGGTGGCATCCATTGACATCCATAGACGATGATTTTCTAACAAAAGTTCGAAAGATGCCCCAATTGTTATCTGGTAAAGAGCAGTTGAAGGTTGTCTGTTTTGGACAGTTCAGTTGCATCCTATAATCTGGATTATGCTGGTGTCAGTCATATTTGTACATATTGTGATGCTAATATATGTGAAATGTAGTTTCATTTTGGTACTGAAGATGTTACCATTTTGATTTCGAGACAATAGAAAGAAAATTAAGCCCTTGTGTAAAGTTGATTTTTTGAGAAGCGATTTTTTTAGAGAGCGTATGATTAAAAAGTAGGGAAAAGACTTGATGGAAAATATGAAATAAATAGTGATGATCGAGATTATACTTACAATTATTTGAATACATTTTACAAACCAAAATATGATATGTAATACATGCTCAAGATGTATGTCATAATATAATCACACATTTAGAATATCATTCTGTAGAGGGGCTGGAACAAGAATTTTCAAGCCATGGTATAAAGAGGGTATTGATCTACCTCGCATTTAGGGGTGGAGCTAAGGGGAGGAGGGGTGGTGATAGTTACTGAAACATTTTAAATTTTGTGAAAATTTATATAGAAACCCGAAGTTACCTGAATTAAATCATATTAAAGCGTAGTTATAATTGAACAAAATTAAGTACAATTATCTAATTGATACTCAGGAAGATATAATTATCATGAATATTATCCCATTGTAACGTTCATAACAATGAATATAAAATTCATGTCATACACAAGTTAGCTAGCCTAACATGTGATTGTACTAGTAAAAAAATAATACTAATAGTGAGTGAGTTTGCAAAACAAATATATCTTTAGGGAGTTGGCATAGTGGCACCAAATTCCTCTTTTCCTAGTGAAGTTGTGGGGTTAAAGCTTGCCCAACTTCTAATGACTATACACCAAAGATTGGCCAAAACTTATCCAATGTACAACTCTTGCCAAGTGAGTTATAGACCAAGCAATATCTTTTGGTGAAAAAGAAATAATAATTATAAAAAATAATGTTATTAATGCGAATATTAAAAGATACATAGCATACAATTTTTTCTTATCCACTTCATATCTCGTGTTATCGTGAATAATTATTTTCTCGTCGCTAAATTTGTTTACATACTCTCATCATTTACTTTTATAGTAAACATCAATATTATGTTGCTTCTCTCTATACAATTTTGTATCACCTTTGCAATTGATATCAGTAAGGTGCACGTTTATACAAGTGCATGTTTGACAAAGCTTAAATTACTCAAACGTATTTTTTGTCTACACATTTCGTAAGATCGACAACTACTACCAACTTATTATTCAGACATTTCGTATCACACCCACAACTTATAAGCACTTAAAAGAACTCCGAAATAAGCTCAACATAGGATCAGATAGTACGATATGCAAAATTTAATTTTTCTTTTTCTTTTTTAATACTATCAAATATCCTTCAATTCACCTAAGCAAACATGTCATAAATGGAAGATTATGATCATCATACATCAAATTGACAAATTCCCTTCTCTTATGCACGTGGAACTTTTTATTTTCATTTTTTAAGTTGTAGTAGAGGACTAATTAGAAAGAAAACAAGAATCCTAGGGGTTTTATCACAATATGGAAGAATATAGGGGTTGAAATTGTAAAATATTCCACAAATGCAATAAAACCAATAAAACACCACATATTTTAGGCTGTCAAAGGCTCATTCCAAGGAATGGCCACACTTTTCACCGCAAGACGTTAACTATCCAGGTAGATAGAGAGAGAGAGGAGGAGGAGGAGAAGAAACCCTAAAACAGAGCTTATTAAGTTACTGATTCTTGACATATTTCTGGGTTCGTTCTGAATCAAATTGCCGGGATCTTTATTTATTATTCATAATTAAGGTAAGTTATTATTTGATTATGTAAATCTTTCTACAGTATGTGATGTAAGAATGAATAATATTGTTTATTAGTTTTTAGTTTTTGTTTAATTTCAGTATTATTTTTGTTGGCGATGAGAAATGTGAGTGGGATGAAACTGTTATATTTATGTGTGAGCTATTATGGACAGGGTGACGAAGGAATAGTAGATGGGAAATCAAATCCGAGTTAATTTAAGGAAGCGTGATGTTGGAAAAGGAAATAATATTTATATTTCTTATTGGGGTTTGAGATCGGTTGACTTGACAAAATTGTTTAGCTGGAAATAGTAGTGAGAATCTGTTAAAATTGTGTGTAAAAGATTTGAGCTTTAATAAATATAGAAGCAACTTGTATAAATGTCTATCAGTAAATCGTTGTGCGATATATTATGAACGGGATTACGTGTTTGTAAATTTTCAACTTCAGTTAACTTAATCTTCATTTTAAGGAAAATCACGAAATCTAGTTTGAGGATTGCTATTCACTGCACTTCCAATACATTTTTTTAGTTTTACTGGTGACTGAAAGCAATCCATGAACATGAACTGTTTCACGAGTGGAATTTGTGCATTGATGCTAGGATGTTAACTCTTAGGTTTGCCACTTTGAGTATGTTCCTGTTTTGAGCTATAGATATAGAGATAATGGGGCTTTCTTTTTATTTTCCTGCATTTTGATAATCCACGGGTTAGGTTGAATGGTCTCAATGAATGGATACCTGCTACATTCACTTAATGAATTAGTTCACTGCTAATTATTGGGCTTTAATCAGTTAAATTTGCATCTGTGATGCTGATACTATGTAGTAGAATGTTGCAATTGGCAACAACGAAAGTTACATATGTGGAGTACACTATCGATGTTTAATTTTGTAATTAGAATTTGGGTGATGGGGAGGCTGTTAAGTGGTGTATATATGAAAAGTAGATGGGTTACGCATGCTAGCCTTTGACATTTCCATGATCATTCAAGCTAATTAGGAATTGGATGGCTGATCAAGATTCTTTCTATTTCAAAGCATATGATCACCTTGGCTTTGCAATAATAAGTGTCATTGAAAGGATTGCCCATCTCTTTTTTGGCGACTGTTAGGCCATTTATCATAGTTAAGGTAAGTACAGGACAAACTGCGCTGTGTAAATGGTGCTGGGCAGATGAACTTGACAAGGTTGTCTTTAAATATGACGGGGTAGTTCATAGTGACCAAGATCCTTTGCTCTCCCTCTTCAATTACAAGCCTGATAACTTCTTTTATTATTTAGAGTTCAATTTCCCACTTCGGGTAAAAATTTTCAATTTTAGATGTGGTAAACTGAATTATTCACCCTCTCAAATTTCCATTGTCATCGTATCAGTTCTATCATGTATCCACATGATCTGACTAGTTTCCATCTCTACTTCATGTGCATGTATTTTGGGGTGCATCGTCAAATTGAAACATTTGATTGTGGATGACACAAACTTGCTGCAGGTTACATGATTGTATTGTAGTTCTATTAACTTGGTGTCTTGAGATCGGTAGGTCTTTCTCTATTTATGTGGATTATGTATTGAATAAAAATATGCAAACATGGTTATGCATCTTCAGTGAGGTTGGGAAGTGGAAACATATTCATTGAACGATGTATTGCTTAGATTAGAGTTTTGGTTTTTTTTCTATTGCGACTTTCTGTAATACCTGATATTTCACCGCATAAATTTGATGTCAACTTTGATTGTTTTATTTTCTTGATTCTGTCTGTTGTTACATGTTAGATAAACGTGAGATTTGTTAAGTTGAAACGGTTTCCAATTCCCTG